GTTGCCATCGCAGCCTTCAAAAAATATCTTCCTTTCGTCCTCCTCTACAAAGCCAACCCAAGACCCGACCTATTTAGTAGTCGGTGAACTCGATTCGATGACGGATATAACTTAGGTTTTCCTAATTTCCTACAACTCTAGCCGCCATTTCTGTCAAGTGAGGTACTTAGGTGCAATGTATCGCTCATCATGAACTCGCTCAGGGTTGAGCTAGCATTGGACTTGTTGTGAGTGGACATTTGTTTTCAAATGAGTATTTTTCAAATATGGAATTACTTGCATAAATGTGATTTGATTGGAAATTGGGTATTTTGTGTTAATAAGATTATGAGATTTTATTATCGGGGTAGTCTTGGATTTTACAATGTGGTATGGGATTTTCAAGGATTATTATTAATAATAATAATAATTAGTAATGGACATGGATTTAGGTTTCGGACTTTGGTGATATTGGTTATGTTTATGGAATTTGGATATATTTTGGGATATGGGATTTATGTGGTTATACACTATTTGTTGTACCTTCCCCTGGTTCATTATGGAAAGGAATTCTTAGGCCGTTAGGAATTGCGCTACTAGAAATTACTTCATTCTCAAGCCTAGCCGCCAAACTTCTCAAGCCTGACCGCCAAACTTCATGCCAGGAATCAATTCTCACACCCGGGCATCTTCTCGAATTCGGCTACCATTTTTCACACCCAGAGCTTGTGTTTTCGAAAGGTGCCAGGGTTGGGTGAATTTTCACCACCCCCAAACATTTGCTTGATAAAAATTGAGCCTCTATATTTAGCATTCGTGCATTTATACATATTTAGAGAAATTTCAACTAATTGATTAATTCAATCTATTTTGGCCCCTTTCTCTTTTTTATTTTATTCGCTTTTTTTTCTTTTTTGAATTATAATGTTGTGAGTATGTGATTCTCTTTTGTGTGTCCCACTGGGCGTGCCAAATTATGTTTCCCTCTTTTCGGCCATGTAGGCCGATTGAAGCAGTTTTTGGTTATTCTTTAATTGAGTGCGGGGCGTGCCACCACCAAACCACGAATTTGGCTTGGATGGAATGTGAGTAGATGATGCGTCCGAAATCTGACTTTAATCAAATGATTGTTCGGCTCAGCAAGGAACTCCTCACGGCCTAGTTTCTTTCACTACCTCGGAGTCTGAGCAACCAAATGATGTGGAGTGGATGAAGATTGAAGGTGAAATGTAATGAAACGAAGATCACGTGCGTAAAGTAAAAGGTGCTTGAATTTAAATATAATGGAAAGATAAGTACGGAAAGTAAAGTGCATAAAATAAATAATTTAAAGACGAGTGCGTAATTTAAAGTGCATAAAATGAAGAAATGTAAGGACGAGTGCGTAATGTAAATTGCATAAAATAAAGAATGTAAAGACAAGTGCGTAATTTAAAGTGCATGAAATAAAGAATGTAAAGACGAGTGCGTAATGTGAATTGCAGAAATTAAATAATTGAAATGCTAGTGCTTAAAGTAAAGTGTGAAAAGTAAACTAGATTACGAAGAACAGTAAAGATTAAGCGAAGACATGTTTGAAAGAACTGCAATTAAAATAGAATTGAAAAAACAAGAATAAGAATGTAAAGACATAATTGAAATCTATGGAAACTAGAGCGGAAAAATATAAGAACTAGGCTATGGCTACCTTACGCTACTCCTAGGATAGAAATTGAAGAGAATGTAAAATGATAGGTTGTGTGTTGTGTCGGGAGTCCTTTCTCTCTTCCATCAGCTTGGTATTTATTGGGGCTTCGGTGCGTCTCAATTTAGTCGGTTGTCAGTTGGCCTTCAAATCAATCATAAGGCCATCCCTAATGGGGGCTCTATTTGGGGCTCAACCACCACAAGGCTCCCATAAATTCAAACTCTCCTTAAAAAGGTATCCTCAATGGTGCAAATTTGGGGCTCTAAAACTTGAAGCCCAACAGGAGTAGTAGCTAAATGCATGAGCTTGGTTGAAGCCCTTGAAACCGAGTGGGTCCCGCAAATTAAAAAAGATGCAGCCCACTTTTTTGGTCTCTCACTTGCCTACGATTGTACAAGGCCATACTTGCCATTTATTTGTTTTGTCAACAGCATGCTAAACCAAATTTTCAAAAGCTGTGTAAACACCTATATTGTAAACAGCCATAAATATCCATTGTATCTCTCATAATTTTTACACACCAAAACATCTTTATCACTCTTGATCAATTTGTCAAATTTTTTCACTCACTAGATTATTTAATTTTTTGTAATATTTTTGTTAATCTTTTTTCCACTAATGGCCAAAAGTTTGAAGCAAAAAGGTACAAATTACTTCATCGATGAAGATGTTGCTCTATGCTGAGCTTGGATAATCATTAGTGAAGATCCAATTATCGAGAATTGTCAATCAAGTGGCATGATGTGGAATCGGATATGAGATCAATTCATACAATTTCATCCCGATGCCCAAGAAGTTAGATCATCACAGAGCTTGAAATCACGTTGGACAAACATCTCCCAAATGTGCAACAAATTCTCTGAGTGTCTTACTCAAGTGGCAAGGTTGAACAAGAGTGGCCAAAATGAAATTGACAATGTGAGTTTTTTAATTTTTAATTTTATTTTCCCATCTTTGAAGGGTTACAATCCTCCCCCTCTGTAAACGCTATAAATAGATGATGATTCAATCCGTTCTAGAAACTCAGGTGCCCCCACAAACCTCAAACCCATGGCGAAGGCCTATAGGACACAAAAAAGCTAAGGAGCTAAAAAGAAAGGCTGCTGTGGAAGAGTCATCTCAAGATGATAAAGAGCTCAAAGAAATTATGAGGTCTTACAAAGATTGTATGATTGAGAAAAAATAGTTGAAGGTTATGTTCAAGGAAACTGCCACAATCCAAACTCCGGCGAGAAGGCGATGGGTCCAACATAAACAAGCTGATATTATCGCAAAGAGTTCTTCCCGTTCGCTAAACTTTGAGGATGAAGTCTATCGTCCCCAACCCCCAAAAGATGATGATTTTTAGAATAGTTTAATAGTTTGTTTTATTTAAAGAATATATAATTTGTTTTATCTAAATTCCGTTGTACTTTGTTTTATTATTTAAATTCCATTGTACTTTATTTTATTATTTTAAAAATGTTCTAGTTTGTTTAACTTAATGAAATGATTGAATTCAAGAACACTGCAATTTAGTTATTGAATTCTAAACACACAACTCTAAATTGCAAGGACATTACAATTTAGTTATTGAATTCTAAACACACAACATTAAATTTAAAAAGACAAGAATTAAAGTTATGTTCCATATTGCTCCAACAAGTGTTGAATGATATCAAATCGAAGGTTGTAGTGGATAGTTGGATAATTTATTATGCTTCGATTAATAGATTCTAACTGTATATTGTGTGATCCATGTTCATGCGGTACCAGAGCCTCCTCCACATGATATGGTGTGTCCTCAGCAGGAGTTATGTCGTCTTGGTCACCCTCATCTTCAATAATCATATTGTGAAGAATTATGCAAGTCTTCAGTACCTCCCAAATGTCTTCTCGGTACCATTGGTAGGCAGACATCGCGACAACTGCAAAACGAGCTTGAAGAATTCCAAAAGCTCTCTCCACATCCTTACGATACGCCTCTTGCATCATAGAGAATAATTGATGTTGTCGTCCTTGAGGATCCGAAAATGACTGGACAATTGTGTTCCACTTTGGATATATTCCATCTGCAAGATAGTAATCTTGCTTGTATTGTTTCCCATTCAGATAATATCGAACCCGCAGAACGTCCTTAAATGACATCATCAAAAAGGGGTGACTTGTATGGTACATTGAGGTCATTATATACTCCCGACATTCCGAAGTTGGCATGCTAGATCCATGTGTCGTAAGAAGCAACTGCTTAAAGGATTATGGTTGGACGACCATGGTGGCCCATGTGTGCCCCATGGTGTGACATTGGGCAGTTTTTCCACTCCCAATGCATGCAGTCAAGGCTTCCTAGCATGCCAGGAAACCCTTGTTCCTCAGCTTTTTGGAGCATGCCAGGAAACCGTTGATTTATGAAGATATTCAGCTCCGTATAAGTTGTTGACTGCATGATAAAATCTCTTGCAAGCTTCAAAGGATGTGGTCTCTACTATCTTCAAGTAATCATCATTAAGGTTAGCTGTCGTACTATATGCAAGCATACGCATGGCAGCTGTGATCTTCACTTGTGGTGAGAAACCAAGCTTTCCAGTGGTATCAGGCTTTTGTTTGAAGTAATCGTCGAAAGGGACAATTTGTTCCATTATTCGATTAAACAACTCACGCCTCATGCGAAATCTATTACGAAAATCTGAAAGGGGATACAACGGATGGTTAGAGAAGTAATTTTCAAAAAGGTTTTCATGGGCACTTACTCGATCTCTTGGTATAGTACGTCGTTGTGATGATGTACCCCCATGGACAACCATCGAGGTCTTCTCCTTCTTCGCTGCTTTTTTCCTTTGGTAGTTTTCGAACATTTCCAAAAATATTATGTTGGCACCTGTCTCATCACTAGAAGAGCTATCATATCCATTGTTGGCCATTCTAGTGCGGTGGTAGAAGAATGAATATTGAGAATACAAGAGTTGGGAAGTGGTGTGTTATGAAAATAAGGTGGTTGTTCATTTATAGAGGATGTGATGGTTTAAGAGATAACAAATATAGGATGAAATTCATATGAGGTAATTTGATCCAATGGTTATTGTAAGATGTAATATGAAGAGATTATATTTTTTATCTGAAGCCATAACGAATGGGATCCACATCCATCTATCACTATTATTATCTGACAAATGTAAATGACATAGGGATGGAAGGCCATAACGAAAGGGACCTATATCCAGATATCACCATGCTACCACAATTATTATCTAACAATGTAGATAAGAAAGGGTTTTTCCATTTGCAAGTTGGCCCACGTTCATTTGCATGTATTACCAAATTTACAAAGCTGTGTCAACAACTCTATTTCAACTTTGGGATGAGCTTGGTATCTATGAAATAAAATGTTGATTTCCAAATCTTGTCCAAATTTTGATTTTTTTTGGTTGAAATGTTCACCAAAAAAAAAAAAAAAACTAACAAAACATGAACAAACATTAAAGTAAAATAGTAACCAAAAACAAAAAAACCACGTAAATCAAATTACATCATGAAAAAATATAGAGCTCGCCATAAATATAGGGTCTGCCATTGTTGGAGAGATTCCTTTAGAGTCCCAAAGATTCCATCAGAGCTCTAAATAGGGCTCTATAAACCCTTTTTAGAGCCCCAACCATTGGGGATGACCTAATTGCTCCAAAATGTCTTCAATCCCTTGTCTCATGCATGTGATTTAATGTGAATAATAATATTTTATTTGATTTTCCTTCAATCTTGAGCGCTCCCATAATAACTTCGATTTACCATCAAGCTGGCATAAATCCTTCTATATTTGAATGGTAACCTATGAGAAAATCCTCCTACAGCTGATCTCTCTCCTTATTTAAGCATTGGCTGATTTTATGTATTCGGCCGCTTTTAGTCTTTCGACCGTATCTACACTTTCAGCTCCTTTTAGTCTTTCGACCATATCTACACTTTCAGCCGCATATAGGCTCTCGACCACTTTTATGCTCTCGGCCATATTGATGTGTTCGACCAGATTGGTGTATTTCACCACATGTAGATATTCTACTACATTTATGATTTTAGGCTTCTATCCGACCTTATTGATTAGGCCCATTGGTTGGGCTCAATGTTAATTTAATTTTCGGATCTTAGGCTTGACTCGGTCAAATTTCAACCAGACCCAAACATTGCCCCCCAGTTTTTATGAATTTTGCCGCAAACTAAGTTTATGAAAACTTAAATTTAATTCTTTTTACAAACACACAGCCGGTTCAAGATTTTACTCTTATATCGGCCTCTAGATGATCTTGAACTTTAAACTATTATTTCCGTATTATTGGCAAAGCAATCTGGCTGTGAAAGTTTAATGAACTATTTTCATGTAGCTACACTCTTTATTCTTTGATCACAAATATTGTCTTTTATAGCCGTTATTAATCGGCCCAATTTTATTACTAAATTTTTTTAGAACTAGCAAATCGTTGATTGGTCCTCTTGCCGAACATGTTGTGTCTCTTATTTGAACCATTCTCACTAGGAATGTAACCACACCATATTTTTATATATTTAACACACTAAAGAAAATTAGCCATAATAATTGGCTATAATTACGGCAAGATATTTTATGGGTAGTTCCCCCCAATTAATATGATCAAATAAGAAAGTAAATGCACCTTACTTTTTTTTTCTTTTTTTTTAATTGATGAACTTTTGATTTCCATCAATAAATTTCGGCCTTCATTTTTGGCTTTGGATAAGACTATATTTCTTGTTTTTGAAGAAAGTAGTATCAGCCTTCATCCATATATTTTGCTTCTACGCTTAGGTCGTAATCTTGACTTAACACTTTTGCATGTATTTTTTTCACAAAAATAATTTGCAACTAAAATAGACTTTGGTTTGGCCGTTCTTGTATTGAGAAGAAATCTTTGACAACCGACACTATTTGGCCGCTTTTGTCTGTGAACTTTTTGTAGTGCTCAAATCACTAACAAGTTCTTTATTATTATTATTTTTTTATGGCCATAATACTAACATGACCTTTATTGGGAATGTTGTCGGCCTACTTATTTAGGTAGCGGCTATTGAAAATAATATTTTTATGGAGACCAAGGGGGTGGCCACCTATGCTTAATTCCAAGTTGTGAGCCCTTCTTATACTTGGCATGGATTTCGCGATTGCGCAAGCTGTAAATTGGTGTACAAGTCACCTTGGAACAACCAAAACTGTTTTTTCCTTTTGTGCTGGCCGAATTTCCTTGCCCCCCCAAGTCCGCTTGACTGGCCAGACTTGGCCTTCTGTTGGGGTCTGATAAACTTGACCATTTCTAATTGTGGTCTAATTACATCCGTTGCTTCAAGTTGGGTCGTGTTCAAACATTTCTCTTTTTGATCTCGTTGGTCATTAATTTCAAGGACGGATGTCTCAAGTTGGGTCATTTGGTGTTCAACCTCGACAGCTTGTTGGATCGCATCCTCTTGGGTGGATTTTTCTTCCTCAACCAACGTGAGAGTTTCAATAGGAAAGTTAATTTGAGTTTTCCCCTCTAAGACCAACTTGTCCACTTCTCTCTCATTCACATATTCCTGATTAACTTCATTTTCCTTTAGAAAAGTTGATGAAATGGATGGCCGGACTGCAACTATACCAAGATTTTTCTCTTCTTCAACCAATGTGAGGTTTTCAAAAGGTAAATGGGTCGGAGTATTGAATTCCAAGGCCGATTCATCCACATCCTTTTCCTTCATATATTGTCGGCCAACCTCCTTTTCCTCCACATAGGTAGGTAGAATGAGTGACCGTACTGCAGTAACTTGATGGTTTTCTTGCTGTGGTTGAAATTTAAGATTGTGAGTAAGAGTTTTCTTTTTGATAGCAAGTTGCTAGGCGATCTCATGAAAACCTTGGATCAAAATTTCGTTAGAAGCATAAAACCTATCCGCCATCTCCATAAATACATCTTTCACTTTAGATGTTACCTTTATGAAATTTTGATGTTCTTTGTCCATGCGGTCAACATATGGCCTCTCACAATGTTAATATTATTTTGGTCGCGTTATAGCCAAATATATGATTTGCTTGGTGGAAGCCATAACTAGGCTGATTATAAATATTGACTGAATTATTTTGGCCATATGCGTAAGTACATTGTCCTCTGGCCACTTGATTGTACTGGCCATTATAGCCATGTTGTTGAATAATTTGGATACATCATGTTATTTTGGCCATGATTGTTGTTTCCGCCATGCTGGCCATTGAATTGGCCACTAGAGCCATATTGATATGTAGAGTTGTAACCTTGATGTGTACAATTATATTGGCCATTTTGGTTGCGGTTACCAAATTGGCCGGTAGATTTGCTACTCGAGCCATAAGAATTATAGCCGTTATAGCTCCTCGGTTGGTAGGAATAATTCCATTGATTTTGATCACTCATATGGTGTGTCCCACTGGGCATGCCAAATTATGTTTCCCTCTTTTTGGCCAGGTAGGCCGATTGAAGGAGTTTTTGGTCCTTCATTAATTGAGTGCGGGGCGTGCCACCACTCATCTGACTTTAATCAAACGATTATTTGGCCAAATATGGAACCTCCTCATGGCCTCGGTTCTTTCACCACCTCGGAGTCAAGGCTTTATGTGAGCAACCAAATGATGTGGAGTGGGTGGAGATGAAGATTGAAGGTGAAATGTAATGAAACGAAGACCACGTGCATAAAGTAAAAGGTGCTTGAATTTAAATATAATGGAAAGATAAGTGTGGAAAGTAAAGTGCGTAAAATAAATAATTTAAAGACGAGTGCGTAATTTAAAGTGCGTAAAATAAAGAATGTAAGGACGAGTGTGTAATGTAAATTGCATAAAATAAATAATTTAAAGACAAGTGCGTAATTTAAAGTGCATGAAATAAAGAATGTAAAGACGAGTGCGTAATGTGAATTGCAGAAATTAAATGATTGAAATGCGAGTGCTTAAAGTAAAGTGCGAAAAGTAAACTATATTACAAAGTACAGTAAAGATTAAGCGAAGACATGAATTGGAAGAACTGCAATTAAAATAGTGTTGAAAAAACAAGAACAAAAATGTAAAGACATAATTGAAATCTACGAAAACTAGAGTGGAAAAAATAAGACTAGGCTATGGCTACACTATGCTACTCCTAGGACAGAAATTGAAGAGAATGTAAAATGACAAGTTGTATGTTATGTCGGGCGCCCTTTTTCTCTTCCATAAGCTTGGTATTTATAGGGGCTTCGGTGCATCTCAATTTGGTCGGTCGTCAATAGGCCTTCAAATCAATCATAATTGCTCCAAAATGTCTTCAATTTCTTGTCTCATGCATGTGATTTTATGTGAATAATAATATTTGATTTGATTTTCCTTTCATCTTGAGATCTCCCACAATAACTTCAGTTGACCATCAAGCTAGCATAATTCCTTCTATATTTGAATTGTAACCTATGAGAAAATCTTCCTACGGCTTATCACTCTCCTTTTTTAAGCATTGGCTTATTTTATGTATTCGGCCGCTTTTAGTCTTTTGACCGTATCTACATAAAATAAGCGTAGATACGGTCAAAAGCAGCCAAAAGTTATTGCAAGTTGAATGTGCAGAGACTAAATCTAGAAAATATATAAAATAAATTAGAAGAGGGTTGAAGTTGAATAATAGGAGAAATGGCGAGCATGAGGACTACGTGTCTGCAAGTCCAGGGCATTGATTAACACTAAAATAAAAATAAATTTGATCTCATTAAAGATGGGCAAGGGGAAAATGATAGGGTACAAAATAGTGAGTTTTTAATATAATATAATTTTGATGATGTGGACTAATTAAACTTCATTAGATTAACCAAATGATTGAGATTGCTCTAAATGCGTATAAATGTACATATGCTAAATGTAGAGGCTTGAGATCTCATAATAAGGACCAATATTTATCGAAAGGCTAAGACTAGCCAAACCATCAGCCAAAAAATTCATCACTATAGATGTAGTTGAGAGTGCTGCATCTATTATTTAATCTCTTGTGTTAGTATGAAAATTGTATTGTCATTTCCTAGACTCTAGCATAAGTTGAAAATTAATGTGTGAAGAATTGTTACCGGACGTTTTGGCACAACTCATTCAACCTCATACTTCCGAGGCATGACTTGACTGATATGAGAAACTTGACTTCAGGTAAATCATGACATAATCATGCATTCAAAAAGGATTTATAGTTGAAGTTGTTTTTAATGCCATTGTGATTTAAGTTAAAATATTAGCGTTTCCTACAGTGACGTGCCATGCTTATCTCCTAATTAACTTGTTTTAAGAGATAATTGTTTATTTATAAAAGTGGTTGTTTGGTGTCATCACTAAAGGTCCTTATTGAATCAGAATTTACATTTATAATTGGATAGTTTTTTTTACTGCTATTTTGGCGTCTCAATGAAGAGACCTTTTTGCATAAGGTTTGGTAGTCTTATTTGAATAGAAGTAATGGACTCTTGGGTTTCTCTCTTTTGAGAGAAAACCGGTCTTGAATAAAACCAAGGTGTTTTCTTTTCAAAGGGCAAGCTTTTGACATATTGTTTTTGGAGCATATAGAATTCTTAAGAAAAAGCTGTTGTGCATATCTTTGAGATAAGTCATCAAGTGTTCCTTGTTTACTTGGTGATTTACCATATACTTTCATCATTCATATTGTATTCATATGCATGTCGGTGACTCATACGGTTGAGGGCACCAAGACCGTGGTGGTGGTTTTCCTCCAGTGAGTTTGAAGCAATCGTGACCAGTATTGCGTTTAACATAAGGAGTGTCGAAGATCATCCTGTGATAGAAGTTGAGTTACGAAGAAGTCGGTAAACATTATCTAGAATGTGTCTAGGATAAGTGTGTGAGTACTTTTTGTAATCATCGTTCTATAGTGGATTTATGTTGGACTGAGGAGTCCCATAGATTTTCCCCAGATATGGAGTTTTACCACGTAAAATAATTATCTACGTGTTCCTTTATTTTATGTTCAACATGTTTCAAGATTGATAAACCATATCAATCATGTTACCGAAGTTTATTTTGTGTTTGTTGATTACAATCTTAAATTGGCATATTCACCATCCTCCAGACATTTTTAGTCATCCTACAGATAAGTTGGAAAAATTCTATAGTCTGACCGTTAGATTGAAGAATTACTTGATATGTTGGTGTATCCTACTCATGTTGACATCTAAATGCACTTCTCCCTGAACGTATTCGCATATATAAATGGTTGACAGTGAGAACTGCTGCACCTACATGCACGTTTACTCGAAAATTATTCGACTTTTCCTCTAATTTGGGTGATTCAAGAATTTATAGCAGATATCGTTACTACAAATTAACTCTAGTATATGAATCTTTTGAACGATGATGATTCTCAACAATCTATGTCGTGTGATGCAAGGGAAAACCAAAATTTAACCTATTCTAGTAACTAAGCAACCAAGAAAATAGAAAATAAATTTATCCAACATTTCTGGTGATGATTTTGGAAATATTGCTATCATATTCTCTTACTGTTAAGAGAAGTTTTTGGAAAACTAAGAGCAGCCACTAGTGCTTCAGGGGTTATATATTTAGGCAATCAATATTCCATTGAGTTGTATTCTAACAAAAACTATAATCAAGTGCAGGCCTCATTAACTGGGAAGCTCTTATATTTTATTTATTTATTGTCTGGTCAATCTCCAAAGATTCTCAATGTCAATTAATAATATGAAATGGGTACGTACATCAATATCTGATTGTAAAGAAACTTATAGCCAAGGAGTAAGGTGACAGATTGAGCGACCCTAATACAACCTCTAGGAATATAGTCACAAGAAAAGAAAAGAAACTGAGACAGTAGCCATATGCCTTCCATCATTAGCTACGTATGCATCATCCTCAAATTTCAGATGTGGGCTCTACTATAATCGAACAGAACCCCGAATCCAGTTCAAGCTTCAACTCACATGAAATTGCCAGAATCTCTTTCTGGAAATGCCGCCCAAAGTGTCATCATCACCATCACTTTGTCTTTGTCATTCCCAACAGTAGCACCTCAAATCTGGTTTTGAAGAACAATCTGCATTGAGTTTTGGTCGAGCCACATGAGGACATTTCAAACGAGCATGTTTGGGTCTTTGAGGCATCACCAAAAGTGCATTCACTCCTCGTATTCATCAAGCAAAGATAATGATATGTTAAAAGACGATGACAACTCAGGGATCTCAATCCCATGCATCCCAAGATTGTGACTGTACCAGATAGCCCATGAAGCTGACCTCTTTCCAAGTACCCATCATTGTGCTCAGCAGAGAGAGCTTCAAAATGAAAGACAATTTCAGCCAAATGCACATAGAAACCATGGTGGCTCCACAAAAATTCTGCAATGAATAAGTTGACATCACATAGCAATATGTTGAGCATGATAATAGACCATATGCGCTTCCTTAGCTTGGGTATGGTTTGAAATGAAGAACCAGATACATCCCTACTGTCCCTCATGACCTTCATATCTTGAACAACCCTATCTTCATTCCACATTGAGTGAATAATGCCAAACCAACTGGGAAGCTCCTAGTGCTGGAATTTTTGCATAAACTATACCATGAGATTCAAGAATTTATACTGCATCCGACAAAATCCTCAACTTCTTACATAGCGACCTGCCATGAAGGAGAAAGCTGTAGGTTGACACAGAGCATAACTTGCAGCAGCCTGATAAAGAAGTTGAGAAGAATATTTTGGTTAAAGTTCATAGGGGAAACTAACAAATGTACATGCTCTGAGAATACTTATCTGTGTCAGTTTTATTATTAAAAATCTAGGAATACAGATATTAAAATGAAATGTCAAATCAAAGACAGTCGTCGTTTCAGATCATTTTAAGCATGAACTCTATCTCTTTGCGTATGAACAGGTGCTATCAAATTAATTGTAACTAAATCTATAAAACATGGGGCAAATACAATCAATTATGCCGAGACTGTACCTCATATATAATCGGCAAGTTTAATTAATTTTTGCTTCAGACATCGGATTTGCAACCACTAAACTTGAACTTCACAACAATTTTTTGTCTGGACAGCATACTGAGCTTGGCTTCTTCACTATCATCTCTTTCAAGCTTTTCACTCGAGAAATCCTTGGTTAGATCAGAATTGCAATCATGCCTAACATCGATCATATTCTCAATTCCTTCACCGCCCTGCTCAAGAGGTGCGCTTGAAACACAGCACAATCTTTTAATTCTAAGGAGATCCTCTGATGTACAAGGCTTGGCTACAGATAAAATACTCGCCATCGACCACTTCTTATGCTTACCCTTGTGTTGTTTTTTCATATGCCTCGGCTTCGTAGAAGAAGTCAATGTTTTATTACACTGAATAACATTAAGGTGTGAACTTGGTATTGTAGTCGAAGGTGTTGAAGGTTGATCTGTTGAAACCATAATACTGGAAGCATCGTGGGGACTGAAGCCAGTCTTGTTTTCTTCATGCTTATGACTGCTATTTGAAGGAGATAAATGGCAATGTTGGATTGAAAGTGCCGATACTGCTTCCTCAGAGTCAGAGTATAATTTACACTCATCTTCAATCTCCTGCTCAATGGTATCTGGTTCTTTGTCTTCGGAGTAATCAACATTCTCATCATCTTGTTGAGTAGAATTCAAACCTACAGCTCCTCTGAGTGATTGGATGGCTGAATTATGGGATTCAAGGGGCGGCAACACATCACTAATACCGTAATTGAGACAAATTTGCAAGTATTTTTCTGGAAATGGCCAGTTAGAAAGGACATCTTTCTGACGACAAGCAAGAACATACTGTCTGCAAATAGAAATAGTTATAAATGAGAGGCTAGTTGATTTTTGAAGCAAAAAACTTTAAGTTGAATGTAGTGCAACTCAATCTTCAACATAAAATGAACGTGCATGATACTATTGCACAAAAGGAAACAAAGGAAAAATTGAATACAGGAAATCAGATATATACGAATGGAAATAAACATGAAACTCACTCACAGTACTGATAAATAAAAGAGCAAGGCCTCATAAATTAGGGAGAACCGAAATTTGTTCATAACCTGGAAATTTAGTTTACTCCAAACTTGTTCTTCTGAAAACCCCCAAAACAGAAAGAACAAAAACTGCACGGTTCTATTAAATAAACAGTATTCTGTATTTCAAATTAATGGAACAAAATTGAAAACAAAATACAGAAACATGCATTTCCACTCGAAAAAAAAAATATACAAATCAAATACAGGTTATGAAATAGAATCTGAAAGACTAGATGAAGATATATAAAAAAGACATGAAAAAACACTCTCTCTCAAATATATTATATATGCGAAGATCAATCACCTTATAGAGAAGGGTCTTTTATCTGGTTCCTCAAGATTGTTATTTGAAGTTGTTTGCTGATGCATAGATTGGGCAACCCCAGCTGGGTTCTTCTGCTGAGGCAGCATAGGGTAGACCGCAGAGATTAATCAATGGCTAAAAATGAAAAGGAAGACAAACCCAGTTGAAATTATGGGCACTGCATCAATATGGAACAAGAATGAAGAACAAAATTATGGGCAATCAATGGAAACCAAAAGCCCTTCACCCAGAGAAACGAGGGTTGGAGAACAGAAAGAAAGCCCGAGTTTCAGCTGGTGGGTTGACCAAAGGTTGAAAAGAACACAAGAATATCAGAAAATGAAAATGAAATTCCAACAGTCTGCAAGTTCTCAAAAGAATGAAATAAGAAAGAGAAAGCGTTGCGAATTACAGAGGAAAAGGGAAGTGTGTTCAAGCTTAGAAGGGTTTGGGATGAAAAGGCTGTGTAGCTTAAAAAGAACGCAAGGAAGAAGAAAAAAAAAAAAAAAAGATATGTTTTTTATTCAAAATCTGAAGAATTTTATAGATGTGAAGAGAAACTTGAATGAGCTGTAGATTGTTTCTCGTGACTTTGAGAGAGAGAGAGAGAGAGAGAGAGAGAGAGAGAGAGAAGAAAGAGAAGAAGAAGAAGAAGAAGAAGGAAATCGAAGAGGTACCTCTAGTTATTTTCCTTTCTATTTTTGTTTGGAGATTTGTTGTTTTCTTTCTTTCTCCTTCGAAAAAATAAATAAAAGAAAACAGAGAAAATCTGATACTTGGGTGCGAGGCTGAAGGGCATGTAGTTTTTTAGGTTATGGAGTTTGAGCGTTCTGTTTTGGAAGGCAGAATAGAATACATTTAAGCTTTGACCAAATTTAACAGTCAACTAAATTTGAGAAATCAAAAAATGGGTGGCCTAACTGTCCTGCGTTTATTGACCAAAATGAAAAAAAACAAAAACAAACTGTCCTGACTTCACCTTGAGCTTTTCTCTCTCATTGAGGACATATCAAACTCCTTTTATGGCTTGAGAAGCAGAGCCTTCATTTCTTCTGTAAGAAAATTATCTCCTGTACATGATTATGGAAGTCCTTTTTCAGACTTGTCTTCCTGTTTTCCTGTGTTTAATTTGCTGTTGTGTTTCTGGCGGCAGGTGGTTGTTTCCTCTGTCTCTTTGTAATATCTCTCTAGCCTGTTGCTTGCTTGCTCATCAGGCTTTGGCATTTGTTTTTAGATTTTATGTTTCTTTAGTTGAATCAGTAAGTTTCCCTTCATCCGTGAAAAGATGGCTCGAACACAGCGTTTGATCTTCTCTCTGCTGAAGCGACGATTACAGTTTATCTCTAAACTTCTTCTGACATATATGGTTCCTCCTTTGCACATATTGCGCAGTATCTGTGTCTGCATTTGGTAACTGATGATCTTATTTGATCCTAGACTCAATTAACAGATATATATACATACGGTGAAGAAGCTGGAAGAAGGCCATTTCAATACTATTGATACCCAACACATCAGGAAACAGTTACAGATATGAGAAAAATTCTAGTGTGAAAAACATAGAAAAAGTTATACAAGCCGATTGCAAGACTTATTCTGCCTTTTTCCAGTGGACATGGGAGGGCTTGATGGCTTTATTAGAGAAAGCTCGCGGTAGAGAACTCAAAAAACTGAGAATAATAATTGTTGTTAACCCCCAGGAGGGCTTGAAGGCTTTGGTTGCCTTTCTTTTGATATAGTGAAGCTGGAAGGAGAAGGCGATCGATCGATCTCAATACTATTGGTAATTCTCAACATATCTGTCATATGATGCAATAGGACACCAAATTTTACATCTAGTTAGCAGGCATAAAGTCTGTCAATTTTTCTGATTATCTCTACTACTTGTAAAGCAGCTTAGAAACCAAACTTCAATTATTTTTGGTCAATTGATTTTGCTTGTAATAGTACCCTGCCGTAGGAAAAAGAAGGAAACAAAAACAAAAAACGGTTCAAGGTACAAATGTTTAGGAGCAG